GTGCTTCCCTATGCTTCCAACATGGTAGAGCAGCAAAGGCAGAGGCAAAAGCACTCCTTGTCTTTCCAAGAGGAATGAGGGCAGCTGGCCTTGCCTTAAAATAAGGCTTCACAAAATAACAACTCGACTGAGGAATTTTGCATCTGAGGCCAGATAAGAGAAGCCTGACCTAGTTTAGAAAACTAGCCAAAGTTCTTAAGCAGAAGTACTGTTGACGGCAAACTACCCTTACTGGGGGTAGTGCCTGTTTCCGAGCAGATCGGGATCTCCAGTGCAATTGCACAGGTACTCCAGAGCACTGCAATTCTCAAGCTGTTTCAGGATACAGAGAAGTGCCTCAACCCAAGCTCAGGCAATGTGCTAACTAACAAAGTAAGAAGCCTACACAGCCTGAATTTTAAAGCAAAATCTTTTCTGGCATGAATATCTGACAATGGGAAAGTAAAGACTGTGTTGAAATATATTGACCTAAAAAGTTTGAAGTAAAGTCATCTTCACATCTCTAATCTTAGCATTTTCTACCTTGTGAGTACTTAAATGTCATCTCTACAATGTTCTCTCAACATCTTTTTTGTGCAACTACAGTAAGAAGTCAAATCTGTGTTTGCCTTGCTTTCTGATGAAACACTTTAATCTTATTTTTTTAAGTTATAATGTGTACTGTTTATAGAGAACTATCCCAGATGGGAATGGAAGAGGAATCGGGGCATCTTAAAAACATGCAATGAATTTTATCCACATCTGTCCTATTTCTTTGGAAAAAAAGGAGTAGGGACAAACTTCTGAAAACCATACACAGAGAGATTAATCTCTGTTTCATGAGAATTGCAATTACTTGGTTAAAGGCAAGTAATGGACAGCAGAAGAATGTATGGTCTAGATTTTGTTTTATTTTTGGGCAGCGAAATCCTATACTGCCTAAAGGATCAAAATGCAGATTTGGGGTTTTAGTCTGGCTCTACATACATGTACACAAAACACCATTGCCACACACACACACTTTATATTTTATAATGTAAAAATGTTAGAGCTCTATGAAACAATTTTAAAAGAGCACTCACTACGCAGATGATTTATCATCTGAACTCGTGATTTCATAGGAATAAAAGTACTGTAGTGCAGAGTTAAAAGCAAATACTGTCTTCATTAGAAGGACTGTGCTGTTATTTGCTTTAGAAAGTGCACACATTTTATTGTGATCAGTGGGATAAGATTTTGAATGTTAAAGTAATTTTTTCAACAAGATGCAAAATCAGAGTTTTTCCAAGTATTAACAAGTATCTTGGCAGCAGCATATTAGTGAGGAGAAAAAAAGGGCTTTAGAAGAAATGAGATCTGGGTATGTACACGAGTGTTGGCCTCCAAATTAACACCTCTTCATTATTTCTCATCTTCACTACAATTATTAGGTTGTTTTGGTTTTCAGTTTTGTTTTGTTTTCAGGGAAGTGTTTCTGCTCTTTTTTAATAGGTGCTGCTTCTGTCCTCTTCAATAATCTTGGCTTCCCTGGTCCACTGCAGTTCTCTCAAATCACAGTTAAGACAGGTCATTTTAAAATCAGCAATCCTTTTCAAATTCACTTGGCACAATACTGGCCTTGCACAATTTATGTTTAATAGATTACATTGTCTATTATTTTTTTTAAATCTCAAAAGGTAATTTCAATGTTTTCCTGCAAGTGATAATTATTTACAACACAGAAATACAGGCAGTGTGATACTGGATCAGGCAGTAGTCTGCCAAAATCAGAACTGGAGTATTCTGATGATGATAAACAATCATAAATAAAAGAAATTACACTTTGCAACCAAAATGGAACTTATTATACAACATATGATTTAACAGATGAGGCTGTTTTCCCCACACACATTTAAGCAGGTGATCAGCTGCTCTCAAAATGCTTAGGTTCAGTTAGAGCCCGTTTTTTGTTCATCGAGTAAAGCAGGATTCCTCTTTTCCTGTGACAAGAAAGCTAGCCCAGAGCAATCTAGAATGAGAAATACCATGCTCAGTCCTATTTGATAATGATGTATAAAGGATAAAAGTATAGTTTAATTCCTAATTTGGAAGGGAAAGATTTGTGTCTCACCTACTAAATGCAGCAGACTCATTATAATAAAAGTAAATGTACACAATTTCCTATGAGAAGAAATTATTCTGCTATGAGTTTTTGTTCTATATTGGACTAAAACCTGTTTGCTCCATTTCTCAGTACACACATAGAAAGGTTTTACTTGTTTTTACAGACTATCTAGAAAGCTAGAAATAATTAAGAAAATAATGCAAAATCTCTGTAAATATACATCAGATATTTCAAAAGATGTTATCATCATTTATACCACTATTTTTACAAACAGTCATAACCATAACATAATCCTTTTAAAGAAGTACTCTAGGTTTTAAACTTATGTATATGTAACACAATGCACAGTATTACCTCTGACATGCACTGCTACACCTACACACGCACAATTGTGAGTAAGGCCATAGTGGAAACATCTAACGGTGAGAATACAGAGCGAAACAGCATATGCAAGCAATAATCGCAGCATGGTCATGGAAAACACACATTGGAGACGGTGACTGTGAGGACTGGCATTAGAAATCTGACACCAGCATGGAAGCATCGAGGACTACAAGGCCTCTGGAGTAATTCACAGCAAACGTGCCTACTTCCTTTCAGAATATCTCAAAAACTGGAGGATGGGAGGGGGCACTGGGAAGAGGTGGAAAGGCATACTACAAACAGAGAAATTTTTGTTTGCTCAAAATACGCTGTTAGTACCGACATAATCCCAGTACTCACACAAAATAGAAAAGAATGGTCCTAACTTCCTTGAATGATTTGTGAATAAAAAAAAAAGAAATTCGAAAGAAGAAATAATTTGTTCTGCAGTTTTTTCTGGTTCTTTTTATGAGTAAGAACTACTACAGGAAGAAAAGACGGGCTGTCTTTTCTGCCTATTTGTCACTGATGCTGTCTTATTCAACTGACGTGCAGACACTACTACACATTAGAGTTCCTGACCGTATGAGCCTGGCAGACATTAACTGAAAAAAGCACATCAGAATATAAGACCGGTGACTCCACATGAAAAAAAGCACGGCAGGACATACTGCTACTTCTGGACTGAGGACAGACTGCCCATCCCATATTAATTCTGTGCTTCTCTGGCACAACGCGGGCAAAGACAACTGCTACAAAGCATAGCTAGATGTTACTGTTATCCTGTAGGCTGTTAAGTGTAACTCAAGTTAGGTTTCAAGAAAAATTGACAGAACGACCTCTAAGGCTGGTTTCAATTGGCAGATGGTCTTCAGTACTAGCAGAGCAGCATAGTCAAGGGAATGTGCAATTAAAACACACACCCACACTTCAGCATTTTTTTTTTGGCAGCTGTGTAACCATGTATCATGTTAACTGTGAAAAACTGCTCGAATGCATGAAAAAAATTAAGAGGAGGAAACAGGGCACTCATGAGTATGTCAGAAATACAATGATTATCAATATTTCATTTTCACATGTCTTATTTCTGCTGAACATGCCAGTATTTAATAAGAATCAACCTAGTTAATTCTAAACTCCAGAAGAGGAGTGGCTGCTTCCATACCTGTATGCTTCCCAAGCTCTGCAAGAGTATCCTGGTACATGCTCAGCATCTGATCACAGTGAGCTATAACACTTCTGCGCATGTTGTCCCAGTGAGGAGCAAGTTCTCCCAAGTCTTTAAGTTCCTGATTCCTGTATCAAAAGGCAAAAAGAAAAGCGAGTAATTAACTCATTAATCCATTAACGTTCATTCAAATGAATCCACAAACAGTTTGTTAAAAAACCATCAAAAGCACTTCCTAATTGAAACAAAATCACTACCTTGGCTGTGTTTTTCATGACATTTGTAAAATCTGCTGATTTTGGCTCTCTTTTTCAGCTACACAATAATGTCAAATCAGTGAATAATACAGTTATCTGTGTTCAAAAATCATCTGACACAAATGCAATGGCCTGCAAACTGAAATGCTATTTATTCCTTGGAGGTAAGAAAGCTTCCAGGCTCCAGAGAAGAGTGTTGACAGCAAGTAACTTTTTGTGAAGAAGTATTAAACACCATTGTAAAGAACACAAAGTTTGCTCCTTTTCCAATGCTTCCAGTATAGTTGTTTTAGTACGTTCTACTCTTTGGGTATGTTCACACACATTGTACACACAATTCAAGCAGCATTTCTACAAATATTATATTAACCAACACATCAGCCCTCACCACATTTCTCTAGTGTTAAAAATAAAACATGCAAACAAAAAAAAAAAGCCAACCTCACCAGTTCCCTCAAACTTAATCTTAAGCCTTACAGCTGTGTTCAGCAGTGTTATAGTAACCAAACATGTCACTGAAAATCCAAAAGGAAATCCTTTAGCAAATTATCAGTTTTCCTGTACACTCTTGAGAGCTGACCTGAGTGAAATAGAGATCACTTTAATTTCCTACACAAACAAGCATAGTTACAGTACACTGGGCTTTCTGCTTGTTTTCCCCACTTGCAAAGTAAATTCATGCTACATCTATCCCAGAGACACTTTGGGGGACCTGCTTCTAAAGAAACTGAAAACGAAAGATCTCGAGTCTTCAAACACTTGGAATTGTTTGGAAGAAAATTTGTGCCACACAACCAACTAGTTTTCCTCATTTTCCTCAAAGTATAAAGCAGAATGTTTCACTGCAATTCTTGGAAGTCTCGAAAAACTTTCAGAGGGCAGCTCTTGCATATAGAAAAAGAATATATATATTGATTCTACAGAGAGCAAATTGGTTACTGATTCACCTTTTCAACACAGCCACGGAATTTTGAATAGCTTGTCAACATAGCAGTAAGCTTAGAGCAAGCTCCATATCTTTAAAATAGAGCCATTCATCACCTCCTTCCCCTACTCCAAATCCTCTCTTCTCAAAGTGTTTTCCAGGTAATTGCACTCATCACCATGACAGATCCTGTGCTCAGCATCAACTTCAACCCTTCTTACAGAATCAAATCCAAGCTTTGTCTCACTCCTCAAACTGTCTCCTGGATAGTCTCTTCTGTCAATGCACAAAGGAAACTCCCAGCCAGGAGCACGTCTCAAAGTCCGTTGTCTCCTGCCTTGATTTGTTCAAGATCTGTCTCAGTGACTTTGCATCATCTTGCCTCACTTGTATCTATCAGAACACGGGCATAAACAGGCTGTGGCACTCCTCTTCCTCCACTTCAAACATTAGCTAATTAGCTTATTTTTAAGCCTTTCTCAGGTATTTTCTGTTTTCAACGTTCATTCTTTACCTGAGTAGGCTAATTATGTCAGCTTTCACTGAGCACTTCCCACTGTGGCTGGAAGCACTTCCTCATTAAAAAATTTCAATTCTATCTATAACCCTTCAAAACTCTTTTCTGTGATAATGGCAGAGAAATTCAATATTGGATCCTGATCTGCTGAAAGCACTATATACCATGCTGATCATTAGTATAAAGATTAATGATTACTGGTGGTAACACAACAAAATTTTAAAGAGAGTAAAAATTTTAAGAATAAGTTATGAGACTCCTCAGGATCCTGCAGCACTGTGTCATGAACCTTCATTTCAGACTTCTACTTAAAAAGCAACAATTTCTTTTATTCTGAATATATAACTGATTTACATAGGCACAATTCATGGATGCTTTGTCCTTTAGGGGACCCGAGATTTACCCAGCCCTTCCCCTGCTATTGAAAAGTACAGTCAGCAAGCTGTCACAGTGATACGCAGGATGTTTTGGCAGGAGCTGCACCTGGACTGAAATATCTGTGCTTTTCTTTTTGAACAACTACATCAGGGCAACAAGAGATCTATAAACATTACATGACTTGACACATTTCTAAGATTACTAGCAATTAAATACCACTGCTATTAGACTTGATGTAAAACTACAAGCAATTTTTTTCGTCCAAGTCAATTTTCAGTGAGGCTCATTATCAAATGGTTCAGCATCCAAGGCTCAGATTAATATTCTGCCTTTTGATTTATCACTCCATGTTTCTTTTTGTTAAATTATTTTTAAGAATACCTTGGGTTCATAATTATAGTAAACTACTAAATGTACCTGAAAGAGGCACAAAGAATTTCCTGTACTAATCATGTTGATAATCTCTACTTAGTCTCTGCTTTGTGCCATGCACTCTAATGACCACAGTAACAGGAGCCTCTTTCTCATCACTTCAGATATGAGGATATAAGAACAGTTTAGAAGTGTAAAAGAAACATATTCAATGCTGAAAATGCAATATACTTTGAAAAAGCGGTATGTGTAATGTTCAAAAATTATTTAAGAAAATTCTAATGCTGAAATCATGTTCCAAATGAACTTGGTTTTGCAAAACTACCTCTAGCTTCAACAGACCAGACACCACTGTGGAAATCACAGGGAATACCTGTGGTCAGTGACAATAAAATAAAAATAATTCAAAAAACTCACAGCAAGATATTACGCTCAGCAAAATGAGTCAGAAGAAGGCATTCCTTCAAAGAACATTTTTGAATCTGATTTTTTTTCTCAGAAAAGAGAACAGCAGGA